AGAAGTGGAAGCTGATGCAATACTACTCGGAGGACCTGTTCTAACTGATCCTTGTTATGAGGGAGACCTGGTCGTGCTCTGGCTTGACGGAAAAGGTGAAGGTGATCCTATAAGTGTTCCCCCGATGATAGATCTGGCGAGCTAAGGCAAGACGTTGTATCATCTTGTGTTATCTTGCTGAAACGGGGTCCTGGAATTGTGTGTCAAGAGCGGTAGTACCGCAGGGTAAAGAGATTGGCCTATGTTACGCTGCCAAGTGATGTTTCTTTCCAAAATCGCCAGGAATGCCTCGACTTGGCTGTCTTGAGTTGGCTACAGAGTGCAGCCAAAGTTCCACTGATCTTGGTAATGTGTACGTTCATTACTCACCACATTGTTTTAGTTGTGTTTGGGCGATTCTCAACCATTTTGTAACACTACTCGTTGTTTGGACCCAATTTCAGTTTGGTAACGTTTCCTTTGCTCATCAAAAGTTAGGCTATTTGTGTCCTTCATCTATAATCTTAGCAATTGAAATATACATTAGCCCAGGAGTCTTGAGTACAAACATGGCAAGCTGACCACGCTTGGGTTTGGATACACATGGTGTTGTAAATAATGATCTTTTAAATAATAATCTCAACAATATGTATTATACTACTATTTTCATTGTTCTGTTCTAAAATAACATACATCTGTACGTTAGTTATTATGTTTTAGTGATCAGTGAGATCATTTTTACAGTCTTTCCATAGTTGAATTTGAAATGTGACGTGAAAAAAATCTCAGCTCTCTTTGATAAAGAAAACAAATCTCAGCCCCTAAAAAGAAGCGAAAACCCCATGACTACCATAAAAACCCGGGATCCCCTAAATATCAAATGGTTCACCCCTAACAACGATTGAGTACTGGTGACTGTAGAAGTCGCCGCGGTTGACCTTGTGGTCGCAGCTGATATATTAGAGAGAATGACTGATGTTTTATGCTGCAGTCAGCAATTTCATGCTGTTTCACGGCGGCGTGATGTAAATTGAGAAAGTTAAACAAGTAATCTTTTTCTTTGGTATTTAACGCCACACTCCTGGAATATGCCAGTTTGAAGAAGGCAGTCAGTAAACAATCGAGTCTGGAGGGACAAACCAATTATTGATTTTATAAGCAATGTCCCACGCAATCTACCAAGTCACAGATCCTGACCACCTGATCCATTTAGCCGCCCCCAAAGACAAGAAATGGATGCTGAAGGCCTCTTCTAACCCGAATCCTCACGGGGTAGCTAGTGGAGTACTTACTTCAGCGTTGCCGAATGGTAGGACGGTGATGTTGAGGACGTCGGTACTAAGCTTGGAGAAGGTTGGGAACAGCTGGTCTGTGATGAACTGTTTACAGAAGGGGCACAACGACTCGTAGTACAAGACCAGGTTGACAGGGGGCGCTGCTGTCTCGTGGCTCCAGTCCTGTGCTGAACACTGCTGTGTTACCTGTAGTGAGGGGAATCATTATGAGTAAGGATGTGTGTCATATGGAAGAGGACAGCAGTGAGTGAGTCAGATTCGTTTGAAGCCGCTTTGAACAGTATCTCAGTTATATCACAGCGTATTAGATTGATGTGGGAGGAAAACCAGAGAGTGATGCAGACGGCTACCACTTTGGTGGCAACTACGGGCCAAGGGATTGTGCTGACACAAACATACAAATATAATCATGGTGAATCTGGGATTTCAACCCGCAATCATAGGTTTCTGTCACGCGGAGGGGACGCAACTCTGGTGCCTTAGATGAATTGGAACAGGTTTGCAGTAACCGGGTCATCCTCGAACAAAGTTCGTTGTTATGTCATACACGAAAACGGGTATGCTCTCAATGAGTTACCGATTCTGAACTCACTTCTGAAATGTCAAGTCATCACCAAACTTTTCGTGATTACTAGTCCCCGACATTAACTCACAGCCATTCTCTATATGTGGTCTTACTTGACAGTGATTACTAGTCCCCGACATTAACTCACAGCCGTTCTCTATATGTGGTCTTACTTGACAGTCATCAGCAGTTTTCCTGGAGCTGCACCACAGACGTGACGGCAGACGACACACATCCGCACCGCTGACGGCAACGACGGTGACAACCAAACCCAGTATTCTGTACAACATGATCTACTCTTCTACACGGTGTGGACTGATAGCGCTCTTTATATAGATGTCTGCATTCTGTTACCATATGGTCGCTCCCAAGACAGTGTTACTGCAAGACAGAGAAGCTGCACATCTGGTCCTTATCATTGAGTGAGTGAGTGAGCGAGGGAGTGAGTGTTTCACGCGAGTTGAGCATGTCACTATTTACATTTTGTTTGTTTGGTTTCTGTTATATCATGATGTGTCCGCTTGGAAACAAACCAATCAGGGACTCGATCCTACGACCATAGGTGTCTGGCACGCCTAAGAGACAGATCCTTGAGGTGAAGTGAAATGGGGTTTAACAAAGCGTTCGAGAGTATTTGTGTGCGTTCGTGCGTGCGTGCGTGCGTGCGTGCGTGCGTGCGTGTGTGTGTGTGGCTGCTTGTACTAATCAGGGTCCATGTCAGTGTCCTAGCCCACTGACATACCATTTATACTCCGAGCCGATCAGTCCCCTTCACGTCTTTTACCATCTTTAGGTATGACGCATTCTGGGGATTAAGCCACAGACCTTCCGCTCTCGGGGCAAACGTTCTACTCTTTACACTACGAAGGCGGTCTAATCACTGAGAGTTCAGCCGTTAAGGAGATATACATATCAACTGATTCTTTGTCTTGGAATACAGAGACACCACTATGTTTTATTGAATTTAGAAACACAAATCCAATGACAAAGCAATTTAGGATAACCTTAGGTAAGGATGTTATTGTACATATAATATCTAATTTAGATGCTTAATTGACTCTCTTGGCGTCAGAGGGCGCTATTGACGACAGCAGCCGACAACTTTGCAGCAGCAAACATTTCACACACCTCCCACCCTCCATTATATTTCCTTCGTTTTCTCCTAGCGGCGTGCAGCTGTAATCAAAGGATTGTGTGCCCCGCTAGGTGGCGTTGTTTTGGGTATATAAAGGGTAGGTGAATTTGAATTCTTCTCTCTCGCCTCATGTGCAAACACGGTCAGTTGTACTTGTTTCAAAGATACAGACGCTTAACTCGACGCCATTTTGTAACAGCTTGATTCACATAAAGAGCATACTGAATTGTCACTCAATTCAAAAATTGGTGCTTTGAGAGAAGAGTTCGATCAAACTTCTTTGGATTTGAAGAAATTAAAAGCTGAAAAGTACGATATATGGCCCTGTGAGGGAGACAACATTCAGTTCAATTTCAATGAAGAGACAGTTGATAGTTTACACAGAATTCTGGTAGCCATGCAGAGCGAACATTCGGAAGACGTAGAGTCATTAGTGACGCCAGAGTAGGACAGGGATCATCGACGAAACAAGTCAATCAAAATAGCCGATTCGTCTGAATGAGGCTGGGGAACTGTACGAAGTTCTGTTTCTAACAGTTTAGCCGATTACTCAGACAATGACAAAGGCATTGCCAGTGCAGAAAATAAGGCTGTTCGCAAGCTACGTCAGAAGCGTTGCACGTCAGGCTCCTAACGCAACCAGTAGGTCAACTCGCCGGTCTGCGACGATAACCGGACCCGTCCAGTTTGCTGTTTAACTGCTTCGCCTGTGCAGTCTGTTCAGCCTATCACAGGTCAGCTTTTTCGTGCGAAAGGACAAAGGTCAGGAGCATGTTTCACATGTGGCTAATTCACACGTTTTAAGGGAATGTCCATATGTCAACACCGCAGCACCTCAAGGAATCCCAGCAAGTGGAATTGGGGTCTCAAATCAACCCGGCCAGTAGGTCATCATTTCAACTTCGTATTTTTTTGCCTGGGTCTGTTTGTTTTGTATTTCGACCTTTATTAGGAACATTTAATACTTTATTCGTAACATATGACTATATTTTGCGTAGTTTTGTATTTTTTGACCGAAAGGCCGTCCATACAAAAAGACTGGATCATTTGCAAAGAAGCGGAGGAAGCAACTGTAAAGAAACTGTCACAAAACAGTCAAATGTATTTCTTCAGACCAAAAATACGGGAATGCGATTATAAATGATGACACTTTCATGTGGAAATATGTAGGTAGCGGTGCTGAAGTATTTTTTAATTATGGCTCTGTTTTCCAGTAGAGTATTTTATGAATATTTTCATTCAACACCAACTGACCACATTGTCCAGTAGAAACAGTTACGTTTGGCCTTAAGTGTATCCCTGTACTGCCATGTCGGTATAATTTGAACAAATCAAAACCCAAGAAACTGAAAGGGTTAACAAAACCAAATTGATCAATTTACAAAATATACCAACAGTAAATTAAAAGAATCAGTCCAGGTCTTTAACTAATACCTCTCTTTTTAAGTGGCCACTGGTTGTATCGGCTGGTGTCACTTGAGAGTGGTGGCCAGCACGCTCGTGCGTGGTTCTTGGTGTTAAATGTAAGGGCTTTTGACGCCTTCGACAAGTACACAATCGTGTTACATGTAGATTATTTCAGAATCTATTTATGTCAGGGTGATATGTGTTTTCAAGATGTCGCAGAGTTGGATACCAATATTTATTCCTGTATTCATTATGAATGGATTTTACTTTAAACAATAAATTTCAGTTTTAACTGAATGAACACAAAATCGCAGGAAATTTTAAGATATAGAATTTCGACATAGATACACTCAGGATACAATAAAAATGATCAGTTTAGTAAAAAATGGAATTCGTTCTAGAGGTTTGATCTTATTTGTTTTGCATGATTGGCCAATACATAATATACATATTAAGAAAGTAAAACTTATACAAAGGTGTAAAATGCCAACTTGGACGCATATACCTCCGTCATGTGGTCAAGCAGTTGATGATGCAGGTCTCCTAGTTCATGATGAAAATGGCGAGTCAACAAAAATGTTTATGTAATCAGGTGATGGCAATCTACGACAAATTAAACTTTCTACAATTCACACTTTTTATTTTGTGAAACGGTGTATACAGGTCCATCGCAATCATGAGCGAACTGGAAATAATAATCACTTTGACCATGTGAATACCGGAGAACATCACATATGTACATCAATTATCGAGTCACCATTTAATAGTGACGTTTCTTTGCAAACTTGGATTTGCGGGAACGTTTAAATGACACTTTCAAGTCTGTGCTCAGGACACTGGTACACGGCGCAGGCGGAATGCGAGAGTAACTCTGACAGACCAACTGGAAGAGGTCATTCTGAGCAGCCTCCTGCGTTACATCGTTGTGATGTCCATTAACGACGATCCACGGGACATAGTCTACCCCCTCCGCCTTGGTGGCCACGCCCATCTGGTGCTCCAGTTCGTTGCCTTCGTGACTCTTCATGCAGCTGGAGATCTCTGTATGGGACACGTTGTTTCGAGCAGCACACTGGTGTAAGAGTGAATGAGTTGGATTTTACATTTTTCTTCATGAGTGAGTGGGTGAGATAATGAGTGAGTGAGTGAGTTGGTTTTTACATTTGTCTACATAAGTGAATGGGTGAGATAATGAGTGAGTGAGTGAATGAGTGAGTTGGGTTTAACGTTGGTTGGACACATGCCCACACGTGAGAGCGAGACATTGGGTGAGTGAGTGAGTGAGTGAGTGAGTTGGGTTTAACGTTGGTTGAACAACATGGGGGGTGGGGTGGTGGTGGTGGTGGTGGGGTGGTTATGAGTGAGTAAAGAAATTGGGTTTTAACGTCGGTCACGAGTTAGTAAGATAGTAAGTTGGGTTTAATGTCTTTTTGAGGTCATTGAGGAAGCCCTGACGTGAGGCTTGGATACCAATGATCACCTGGCACAGGTGGCTGTTTCCTGGGTTCCTCAGTTGTCTGACACTATAATCACGAAGTGTGGTTGGTTGGTTTGTTGTTTAACGCCGCAATATTCCAGCTATATGACGGCGGTCTGTAAATAATCGAGTCTGGACCAGACAATCCAGTGATAGATATCATGAGCATCAATCCACGCATTTGGGATCGATGACATGCATGAACCAAGTCAGCGAGCCTGACCACCCGATCCCGTTAGTCGCCTCTTACCACAAGCATAGTTGCCTTTTACGGCAAGCATGGGTTGCTGAAGATCTGTTCTACACCGGATCTTCACGGGTCACTAAGTGTGGACCCAGACTGGAAATGAACCCCAGACAAAGGTGTCCAGACCCTTATAACGTACAGAAAAATAATGTAGAATTCCGGAGGTGAACTACGAATTCCTATTCTACTGTACTGCAACGGAAATGAAACAGCACATGCGAAATCAGTTCCAGATATTAGTGAGAGAGTGAGTTTGGTTTTACGCCACTTTTAGCAATATCCAAGCATTATCACGGCGGGGGACACCAGAAATGGGATTCACACATTGTACCCATGTGGGGAATCGAACCCGTGACGAGCAAACGCCTAAACCACTTGGCTACCCTACCGCCCCGTCAGATATTAACCACCTGGCCTGTAGACAGATAAATAAGTACCTCCGAACGTGAACCCTAATTAATAGGTACGATTAGGCGAGGCTTGTAATGCTAGATTTGTGTTTTTGCTTGTAGCAATACTAACTTATTGTACTGTGTGCAGAATAAGACCGGAAATCCTATACTTTTCTGCCAGACGGCATTCTGAATTTTTTTGGCGCTTTGATATGTTAACCACCTTCGGGCTATCGAGCTGGTCATATTAATTGCTAACGCTAGATTTGCATTGAAATATCAGACGTTTTACGAGAGGTAGACATGCTCACATTAAGGAGCAGCGCTGGCCAGCTGGTGTTTTCTGTGGCATGTGTCTCCATACAGTTGATGAAGGGCAGGTAGGCTGTGGAGTTGAAGGACGTGGTCTTCAGGGCGCATGTCTGGAATCGAGGAATCATGCAACACTTATTTTTATTGATTGTTTACAATGGGACTTAATCTGCAAATGAACCTTATCGCTGGTTTTCGTCATATACCCTGTCTACATCATCAGCACCTGCGTCATTTATGAAGACAAGGGGTGGGTGGGGTGGGGTCGGGGTTAAAGCCGCTTTTAACAGTATTACAGTTATATCACGGCGTGTCAGCTTAATGTGAGAGGGTAGCCCGAAGTGATGCAGGTATCAGACGTTTACCACTTCGGTGAAACCCACGAGCACGGATATGGTGCTGACAAACCTAGAAACATAATCGGGGCGAACCGGGATTCGAACCCACAATCATAGGTTTCTTGCGTGCCCAAGGGACGCAACTCTGCACAACGAATCGCGGCGCCTTAGACGACTGGGCCACCTGTGCCCCCTTATGATGACAATAGAGATGGCTTTGTTCCACCAACAAGGTACAAACAAACCGCTTGTTCATTTGGCCACTTTTATAATAACTCAAGTGATACAACATGTTATCGAATGCATTCAAACAACGCTCTTGCTTTTTGCATTATATAGTTGCCTGTGACGTCTGTATATTGACTTAATAAAATATTAAACTCCACCTGTATGAATATTATGTGTGACCAATCTTGAGATGAGGGACCTTATGGGTGTAAAATTCCATTTTGACTTCTCACTATATTTAAAAACTACAGTATCTTAGGAACACGAAAATACAATTCACAAGCCTCAATTCAAATTTATTACGGAGATGCATGACATCAAACATTTGGACTCATTTTCAGACTTATAACTGTTTATCTAATAATTGCGTTTTTTAGATATAATGTCTGATAAAGTCAACGTAGCCATGTATGCTGAAATGTTTTGAAATAATGCATTTACAGTAAACTACGGTTATAACGAACCCAAAGGGACCACTAAGTTTAGTTCGTAATAACCGTAGTTCGTTATAAGCTTGGATGAGATCCAGCGATATCTACACTGTAGATATCGCTGCAATGAAATTACATCACAATGCATTGCAGACCATTGTGACGTCACTGGTTACCATGACGTCACAATCAAATGACATCACTAATGGCTCTGCTACTGAAGCTGTTTGCAGTACTTTTTACACTGAAGACACTGCTAATTACTGTCTACAAATTGAAAAAGTTGAAAGAATGATGTTGGATGATAAATAAAATCTCACCCTCGTGTCTTTTGATATCAAATATATCAACACTCGTTGATAAAATTGGCAAACATCCTCGGCAAGCCTCGGAATTTTTCCACTTTTATCAGCTCGTGTTGATATATTTGATATCAAAAGACACTCGGGTGAGATTCTCTATATATCAGCCAGGTCAGACAATGTAATCACTTGGCCCTCATTACTCAGCACTTACGACATGTTATCAGTACTCACGGCCATGAGGTTGCCCTCGCACTCCCCTCTGCCGTGCTGGCATGTGAACAACCATTTGTCGCCCTCCTGATATTCCTGCAAGAGTTATCAGGCAACAGATAAGGAATTGTTTCTTTACACCGCCTGGTTCATACTTCTGTGTGAAGAGGAACATGCCATCACTTAACATCCCAACCCAATGAATGTATTAATGTATGAATGAATGGTTTATGTTTTTAATAATATGACCATGAGGCATCTGAACGGCAATGGTTTTAACTTTAATGGTGGCGGACCAATTCATTTCGGTGGGGTGGTGGTGAGGTTTTAAAGAAGTCAACAGCTCATTGTTTTGTGAGCAAAGCAATAATCTTTGATACTGGGACGTGAGCATGAGGGACAGAATGCCTGTAACATTTATTTATAAATATTCATTTCAAATCTTCCATTTAAAGATGCCATATCGTGAAAGTCAGTGTGTTGTACCCTTGGACAAGGTTATTGAGTCCACTCGCGCTATGATCGGACTGAAACAGTTGTTAACTGTAATGTGAAATGCGCCTTTAGAATTTGAAAAAGACCCATATATATAATATGATATATATGACATAATATATATAATTTATGACAATTACCCTAAACTGACCAGCAAACGTCACCAACCAACATTGTTTGATCCCGAAAGAGAACAGGACGAATGTCAAGAAAGATACTTGCTTTGTCAAAAGACATAGAGGATATTGAAATAAGTGAAATAACTCCTTTTACCCCGTCACGAGATGAGGGAAACAAGATATTTCACTCAACACGGGGAATATCCTATTCATTATATACTTTAACACACAGGGACGGTTCACCACCGCTTGTATTTGCGACTTAAAAAAACTTAAAATATATTGGACAAAAGTAATAAAAACATTCAGGGTCCTGAAAGGTTTTTATCATACATTTAGATATGATTATATACAAAATCTACTTCAACAAAAAATATTTTTGAAATCTAAGAGACCGCTGTTGGAAGCAAAAGAAAACACTCTGGTCAAGTAACAAACATGGCGCTTTGCGAACATTAGCGATTGGCGTGTTATATGAGAAATTTACAGTTTATTACGAAACAGTTTCAAGAGAATAACAACAAGAGGCAATATTAACTCCATAAATGACAATTTGGTATTTTATGCCTTGTCAATATGGGACTTACGTACAAAGAAAGTAAACAGTTTGTGTACGTACAAGACACTTATGATAAAGGGAGACAATTTGAGGGGAGAAAATATTTGTATGACAATAGTTCCCTCAAAGTGTTATGTTCACTGTAGTGAAATATCAAGTGTTATGAATGCAATGAAAATACCACTTTCCTCAATTTAAGAAGACAATCTTTCACAGTAAAGTATATAATAAATGAATAACACCATCATTAGAAGTTACGCCGTGATTGAGAACAAAACTGAAGGTATTGTGTCCACAGTTCTTGTGTGTCAATATCGTGTGTGCCCACCAGGGGTATTAATCAACAAGAAGTGGAAGCTGATGCAGTACTTCACGGAGGGCCTGCGCTATCTGATCCTTGTTATGAAGGAGACCTGGTCGTGCTCTGACTTGACGGAAAAGGTGAAGGTCATCCTATAGGTGTTCCCCCGATGATAGATCTGGCGAGCCAGGGCAAGCCGCTGTATCATCTTGTGTTATCTTGCTGAAACGGGGTCCTGGGATTCTGCGTCAAGAGCGGTAGTACCGCAGGGTAAAGAGATTGGCCTATGTTACGCTGCCAAGTGATGTTTCTTTCCAAGATCGCCAGGAATGCCTCGACTTGGCTACAGATGCTGTCTTGACTTGGCTACAGATACCGTCTTGACTTGGCTACAGATATCGACTTGACTTGGCTACAGATACCGTCTTGACTTGGCTACAGATTGACTTGGCTACAGATACCGTCTTGACTTGGCTACAGATACAGTCTTGACTTGGCTACATATACCGTCTTGACTTGGCTACAGATTGACTTGGCTACAGATACCGTCTTGACTTGGCTACAGATACCGTCTTGACTTGGCTACAGATGCCGTCTTGACTTGGCTACAGATGCTGTCTTGACTTGGCTACAGATGCTGTCTTGACTTGGCTACAGATACCGTCTTGAGTTGGCTACATATACCGTCTTGAGTTGGCTACAGATACCGTCTTGACTTGGCTACAGATACCGTCTTGACTTGGCTACATATACCGTCTTGACTTGGCTACAGATATCGTCTTGACTTGGCTACAGATACCGTCTTGACTTGGCTATAGCTACCGTCTTGACTTGGCTACAGATACCATCTTGACTTGGCTACAGATACCGTCTTGACTTGGCTACAGATACCGTCTTGACTTGGCTACAGATACCATCTTGACTTGGCTATAGCTACCGTCTTGACTTGGCTATAGATACCGTCTTGACTTGGCTACAGATACCGTCTTGACTTGGCTACAGATACCGTCTTGATTTGGCTACAAATACCGTCTTGACTTGGCTACAGATACCGTCTTGACTTGGCTATAGATACCGTCTTGACTTGGCTACAGATACCGTCTTGACTTGGCTACAGATACCGTCTTGACTTGGCTACAGATACCGTCTTGACTTGGCTACAGATACCGTCTTGACTTGGCTACAGATACCATCTTTACTTGGCTACAAATACCGTCTTGACTTGGCTACAGATACCGCCTTGACCTGGCTACAGATACCGTCTTGACTTGGCTACAGATACCGTCTTGACTTGGCTACAGATACCGTCTTGACTTGGCTACAGATACCGTCTTGACTTGTCTACAGAGTGCAGCCAAAGTTCCACTGATCTTGATACTGGTATGTTCATTACTCACCACATTGTTTTAGTTGTGTTTGGGCGATTCTCAACCATTTTGTAGCACTACTCGGTGTTTGGACCCAATTTCAGTTTGGTAACGTTTCCTCATCAAAAGTTAGGCTATTTGTGTCCATCATCTTTAATCTTAGCAATTGAAATATACATTAGCTCAGGAGTCGTGAGTACAAACATGACAAGCTGACCACGCTTGGGTTTGGAAACACATGGTGTTGTAAATAATGATCTTTTATTGTCTAAACAATATCTATTATACAACTATTTTCATTGTTCTGTTCTAAAATAACATACATATGTACGTTAGTTATTATGTTTAAGTGATCATTGAGATCATTTTAATAGTTTTTCCATAGTTGCATTTGACGTGAAAAAAATCTCAGCTCTCTTTTAAATAGAAAACAAATCTCAGACCCTAAAAAGAGTGAGTGAGTGAGTGAGTGAGTTCGGTTTAACGCCGCTATTAATAGTATTCCAGTTACATCACGGCGTGTCAGCTTTATGTGGGAGGAAAGCCCGAAGTGATGCAGGTCTCAGACGATTACCACTTCGGTGAAACCCACGAGCACGGATATGGTGCTGACAAATCTAGAAACATAATCGGGGCGAACCGGGATTAGAACCCACAATCATAGGTTTCTGGCGTGCCCAAGGGACGCAACTCTGCACAGCAAATCGCGGCGCCTTACACGACTGGGCCACCCGTTCCCCTGAATATCAAGTGGTTCGCCTCAAACAACGATTGAGTTCTGGTGACTGCAGAAGTCACCGCGGTTGACCTTGTGGCCGCAGCTGATATATTAGAGAGAATTTCATGCTGGGTCACGGCGGCGTGATGTAAATTGAGATAGTTAAACATCTAATCTGCAACACGAGCAACTAACAAGCCGTAAAATAACTACACTATATTGGTAGTTTTGTTTCTTTTTTCTTTGGTATTTAACGCCACACTCCTGCAATATGCCAGTTTTAAGAAGGCAGTCATTAAACAATCGAGTCTGGAGGGACAAACAAATTTTATAAGCAATGTCCCACGCAATCTACCAAGTCACAGATCCTGACCACCTGATCCATTTAGTCGCCCCCAAAGACAAGAAATGGTTGCTGAAGGCCTCTTCTAACCCGAATCCTCACGGGGTAGCTATTTGTTATGGTGGAGTACTTACTTCAGCGTTGCCGAAAGGTAGGACGGTGATGTTGAGGACGTCGGTACCAAGCTTGGAGAAGGTTGGGAACAGCTGTTCTGTGATGAACCGCTGACAGAAGGGGGACAACGACTCGTAGTACAAGACCAGGTGGACAGGGGGCGCTGCTGTCTCGTGGCTCCAGTCCTGTGCTGAACACTGCTGTGTTACCTGTGGTGAAGGGGGGGTCATTATGAGCAAGGATGTGTGTCATATGGAAGAGGACAGTAGTGAGTGAGTCAGATGCGTTTAAAGCCGCTTTGAACAGTATGTGAGTTATATCACAGCGTATTAGATTGATGTGGGAGGAAAACCAGAAAGTGGTGCAGACGGCTACCACTTTGGTGGCAACTACGGGCCAAGGGATTGTGCTGACACAAACATACAAATATAATCATGGTGAATCTGGGATTTCAACCCGCAATCATAGGTTTCTGTCACGCGGAGGGGACGCAACTCTGGTGCCTTAGATGAATTGGAACAGGTTTGCAGTAACCGGGTCATCCTCGAACAAAGTTCGTTGTTATGTCATACACGAAAACGGGTTTGCTCTCAATGAGTTACTGATTTTGAACTCGCTTCTGAAATGTCAAGTCATCACCCAACCTTTCGTAATTACTAGTCCCCGACATTAACACACAGCCATTCTCTATATGTGGTCTTACTTGACAGTCATCAGCAGTTTTCCTGGAGCTGCACCACAGACGTGACGGCAGACGACACACATCCGCACCGCCGACGGCAACGACAGTGACAACCAAACCCAGTATTCTGTACAACATGATCTAATCTTCTACACGGAGTTGACTGATAGCTCTTTATATAGATGTCTGCATTCTGTGACCATATGGTCGCTCCCAAGACAGTGTTGCTGCAAGACAGAGAAGCTGCACATCTGGTCCTTATCATTGAGTGAGTGAGCGAGGGAGTGAATGTTTCACGCGAGTTGAGCATGTCACTATTTAAATTTTGTTTGTTTTGTTCCTGTTATATTACGGCGTGTCCGCTTGGAAACAAACCAATCAGGGACTCGATCCTACGACCATAGGTTTCTGGCACGCCTAAGAGACAGATCCTTGAGGTGAAGTGAAATGGGGCTTAACAAAGCGTTCGAGAGTATGTGTGTGTGTGTGTGTGTGTGTGTGTGTGTGTGTGTGTGTGTGTGTGTGTGTGTGTGTGTGTGTGTGTGTGCTTGTACTAATCAGGGCATATCATACTCCGAGGCGATCAGTCCTTGTTTTATCCCCTTGACTTCTTTTACCATCTTTAGGTATGACGCGTTCTGGGGATTAAGCCACATTCCGCTCTCGGGGCAAACGTTCTACTCTTTACACTACGAATCACTGAGAGTGCAGCCGTTAATGAGATGTACATTTCAACTGATTCTTTTGTTTTCGAAAACATGTTTCATTGAACTTAGAAACACAAATCCAATGACAAAGCAATTTAGGATAACCTTAGGTAGGGATGTTATTGTACATATAATATCTAATTTAGATGCTTAATTGTCTCTCTTGGCGTTAGAGAGCGCTTTTGACCGCAGCAGCCGACAACTTTGCAGCACCAACCATTTCACACACCTCCCACCCTCCATTATATTTCTTTCGTTTTCTCCTGGCGGCGTGCAGCTGTAATCAAAGGATTGTGTGCCTCGCTAGGTGGCGTTGTTTTGGGTATATAAAGGGTAGGTGAATTTGAATTCTTCTCTCTCGCCTCATGGGCAAACACCGTCATTTGTACTTGTTGGATACAGACGTTTAAGACGACGCCATTTTGAAACAGCTTGATTCACATAAAGAGCATATTGAATTGTCACTCAATTCAAAAATTGGTGCTTTGAGAGAAGAGTTCGATCAAACTTCTTTGGATTTGAAGAAATTAAAAGCTGAAAAGTACGATATATGGCCCTGTGAGGGAGACAAAATTCAGTTCAATTTCAATGAAGAGACAGTTGACAGTTTAAACAGAATTCTGGTAGCCATACAGAGCGAACTTTCGGAAGATGTAGAGTCATTAGTGACGTCAGAGTAGGACAGGGATCATCGACGAAACAAGTCAATCAAAATAGCCGATTCGTCTGAATGAGGCTGCGGAACTGTACGAAGTTCTGTTTCTAACAATTTAGCCGATGACTCAGACAATAACAAAGGCATTGCCAGTGCAAAAACAAGGCTGTTCGCAAGCTACGTCAGAAGCGTGCACGTTAGGCCCCCTACAAGACCAGTAGGTCAACTCGCCGGTCTGCGACGATAACAGGACCCGTCCAGTTTGCGGTTTCACCTGCTTCGCCTGTGCAGTCTATTCAGCCTATTACAGGTCAGCTTTTTCGTGCGAAAGGACAAAGGTCAGGAGCATGTTTCACATGTGGCTAATTCACACGTTTTAAGGGAATGTCCATATGTCAACACCGCAGCACCTCAAGGAATCTCAGCAAGTGGAATTGGGGCCTCAAATCAAACCGGCCAGTAGGTCAAGAAGAATATTTATGGTACATAAACACCCACAGGGGGCAGGGTACAAAACATGAACATGACTAATTAAAACATTGACATACAAAACAGAATACAAATATTGCTATGATTATATTGTTAGGGAGGAGATGCACATTTTCGTTGCCTGAACATTTTGTGAATGAAATTAGAGATAATTTTTGCAAAGGGCTCTGGTGGTTTTAATAGTATAGTATGACAAGTCAGTTGAGTATACTAACGTTATTCATGGTACATGCTATGCTCACTGATGACTCTTTTGAATACGAACAAGGTAGATCGGGAATAACTGTAAAAGGTCGTCTCTAAAGTAACTTACAATTTGGTGGCAGATTGGTACAACCGACTTCATGTTGTATGTGATTGGAAATGGCTACAAAATTCCATCTATTTAAATGCCACCTCCTATGTTCATAAGAAACAATCAAACTACAGTAGTTTTGTTACACAGGCCATTGACGAGTTGATGAAGAAGCAGCTGATAAGTCGGCCGTAAGCCAATTAACTGAGCCAATTCACTGTAGCAATCCAGTCTTCGGGAAAGCAACGTTTAATCCTTGATCTGTCTTGATTAAAAAGAATGTTTACACAAGCAGTGTGAAATACGAAGTCTGCAAAACAGCAATGAAATTTGATATTCATACTGCATATCATCATAGATATTACTCTCTTTGTTTTGCCTGGCCATACTATGCAGGCATCTTATGCTTTTACAAATCTTGGTTTTGCTATTTGATTTAACGTCTACTCCAGGGTAACTAGGCAGCTGGTCAAAAAGTGGCGGTCCGAAAGACTTAGGATAGTGACTTTCTTGGATGATGACATTTTGGCTGGAGTTTCAGAAGATGAGACATTTTCATCAGGCTCTGCTATAAAGAAAGATCTCTTGTCTGGTTTTGTTCCCAAGGCAGATAAGTCACTATGGACTCCGTCACATGCATTGGAGTGGCTAGGTTTTGGGCTGGATACAATCTCTATGACAATTAGTGTACCTACGAGAAAGCTGGATAAGGTTAAAGAAGCAATAATTCACCTGTTAGATTCCAAATCTAGCCGCATACCTGTTAGATATGTGGCTTTTGTTGTTGGGCAATTAATATCCATAAAATTAGTGCTGGGGCCAATAGTACAACTTATGACAAGATCCCTTAGTATTGACAATAGAATGGCAGTTTCGTGGTACAGCAAGACCCTGTTGTCTGATATGAGTATCAAACAACTTGATTTCTGGTCAGACAATATGAAGTGGTATACTTCTAGATCACTTGTTCAGACAGCATGTACCAAGAAAGTAGTTTATTCCGATGCCAGTGCCAGTGGCTATGCGGGTTATTGTGTAGACGGAGGCTGTGTAGCTTCTCATGGTGAGGTGGGGTGAAATGGGGTTTAACGTCGCGTCCAAGATTATTGCACTTATATATCGACGTGCATGCACGTGTGTGTGTGTGGCTGCTTGTACTAGTCCGGACTGATGCCGATTTATAGTGCTAGCTCACTGAGATACCATGCCGCAGTTTAACATGAATACCCCACTCAGACACAGTATACTGTATCCGAGCCGACCAGTCCTTGTTTTAGCCCCTTAATGCCGAGCGCCAGACAGGGTAACAACAAGTACCATCGTTTAACGTCTTTTGGTATGACGCGGTCGGGGATCGAAGCCCAGACCTTCCGCTCTCCGGTCGGACGCTCTACCACTAGACCACGGAGGCGGTCTGCTACTCATGGACAGCAGTCAAGTGAGGAAACTAGCTTGAGTTCAACATGGAGGGAGCTGAAAGCGGTACAATGGTAGTTTATAGTCTTGTTGCAACTCTGGATCATCAACTGGTTAAATGGTTTTCAAACCATCAAAATGTTGTGTCTATAATAGAAAAAGGTGGCATGAAACTTCTCTTACAATCAACTGCCCTACAAATATTTGATTTATGCTTATACAACAGTGTTGAGCTGCACATCCAGTGGATTCCTCGTTATGAGAATCAGGAAGCAGGTTACCTCAAGCGGTTAATAGGTCATCTTGAACGCTTCGTCAATTGGCCAAATCTATTTTTTAAAATATCAACGTTCGGTGGGGACCTCATCATGTCGATACTTTTGCTTCCTGTTGCGACTTTCAATTCGCGTTTCTGCAATCCCGGATGTCAGACAGTAGATTGTTTAACTGTAAACTGGAAAGGGACAATGAGTTGGATTGTACCCCCTGTATGTTTGATACCTAGAACTATCAAACATTTGTCAGAGTGTCATGCCGTGGGGACATTGGTTGTTCCGGAGTGGCAATCAGCTTGTTTTGGGCCATTACATTGTGAGAAATGTTTGTTTGTTCCTAAAGTTAAAGATTTATAAATTTTCCTAGATACAAAGATGCTTATACAACCAGTAGGATTAAAGGTGGTCTCTTTGAGAATGATTTGCATTTTGATATGCTTGCTGTTATGAGCTATTTTCGTTGATGAGTTGTTCTGTTTTACAGATTCATTTCAGAATGTGTACAAAGACGAACTGGATAATCTCCCTGTGAACGTTAGCGGTGTAGCTGAAAGGTTCCCATCTTTGTTGTCGCTATCTAGAGCTGATTCTACCACCCCAAAATATAACAAGGTTTTGCTGCTTGGAAAAGGTGGGAAGAGTGTCATGCTATGCCAGCATAATAACACCTTTGCACTGTGCAATTTTTTGTTACCGGTGGTACAAAAAAATGATTCTATTTTATCAGTTTTAACTGCCTTTTATAGTTTGAGGCATGCTCATCGTAGCATTGGGCCTGGTAGTCCTGTAAAACATGTTGTGGAAGCGGCTAAGAAAAAGCTTGTTCAGTCAGGAGCATGTTACTGTGGATATCCTTCAACTTTTACACGAAGCCAAAATTGTAAATGTATCATTAGCAGATTTAAGAATATTGGATTGTTTATCTAAAACAGAAATTTACGGTTACATCAAGGACAGTGTAAATAACAGAATGAAAGTTTCACTTTCTCCTGGCCTCTGACTTCTTTGCATCTCTCGTGTTTTGCATAGCATGTTCCACTGTTAAAAAAGGGCGGTCGGGTAGCCTAGTGGTTAAAGCGTTCGCTCGTCACGCCGACGACCCGGGTTCGATTCCCGACATGGGTACAATGTGTGAAGCCCATTTCCGGTGTCCCCCGCCGTGATATTGCTCGGATATTGCTAAAAGCGGCGTAAAACCATACTCACTCACTCACATCCGCTGTTAAATGTGGTGTGTTGTGATTCGGTGTAACGGTTTGGTATAGGAGAACAGTTGTATATTTGGCTTGTGGCATGCAACACGTGGGGCTTTTATGTACGCTTCGTTAACATT